GCCACGAACAAGCACTGCGTCCAGTGTATGCCCGACGTTAGTCCAAGCTGTAGACTGCTCACTGCGATCCCGAAGTGGTATTTCTGGCCGAGTTCTGCAGGTAGAGGTATCGCTAGCTGCGTCTGATGTCCTGGGACCACTACCCAGCTGATTTCACCCTGGAGAGACCAAAGAAAACGTCACCGCAGTGGCTTGCCACTATTGATGACGATCCAGTCAGTGTGAAAAAAACGTCAGATCCCTATCGTTATTATTCATTTTAGTGAACACAGATTTTAAAAGTTTGTTTACTCTCAGATTGTTAATTCGTTGTTTCTGCGCCACACAATCAGGTCAAGTAGTTACTTCAGACGGTCTCAGCCGCAGACGGCGACTAATTACACAATATCAAAGGGCGCTAGAGAGCGAAGTTAAACAGATTTCAAAGGAAATGAGGAGAGCGGCATGAGATAGCGGCAGATGTAACACCTTGGCGTGAGCTGGATGAGATAGCAGCAGATGTAACACCTTGGCGTGAGATGGATGAGATAGCGGCAGATGTAACACCTTGGCGTGAGCTGGATGAGATAGCGGCAGATGTAACACCTTGGCGTGAGCTGGATGAGATAGCGGCAGATGTAACACCTTGGCTTGAGCTGGATGAGATAGCGGCAGATGTAACACCTTGGCTTGAGCTGGATGAGATAGCAGCAGATGTAACACCTTAGCGTGAGCTGGATGAGATAGCGGCAGATGTAACACCTTGGCGTGAGCTGGATGAGATAGGGGCAGATGTAACACCTTAGCGTGAGCTGCATGAGATAGCGGCAGATGTAACACCTTAGCCTGAGCTGGATGAGATAGCGGCAGTTGTAATACCTTAGCGTGAGCTGGATGAGGGCCTACACTCCAGTGTGGGATAGAAGAAACAGAAGAATTATATAACACTTAGGTAACTGCCGTGGTGTAGCGGCTAGACGCTTGCCTGTGGATCGGAAGGTCGAGGGTTCGGGTCCTGTCGGTCCCGGACTTTTCTCAAAAATGACTTTGGCTTCCAGGTGGACCCAGCCTTAAGTGGGTACCAGATACAGTCCTGGGAAGTAAAGGCAGCCGGTGTGATTCTGACCACATCACTCACCAAGCGCCGATTGGTCTATAAAATATAGGTCTAGCCCTATATACCCAAAACGGCTAAAGGGGTGGAAAAAGGCCCTTTACTTCTAACTTGAGCACTGTTAGCTTAAAAAAAAAAACGAGTTCTCCTTTGTTAAACCTGTGACAACTGCGACGCCACTTACAGCCAGTGGTTCTTCGTCTTTGAACACAAGTTCTCACAACAAACTGAAACAGGTTCTGGTACTAACCTTAAACTATCTAGCATTGAGACAATTATTCCTTAAAACGGTCCCGTTGCCTACAGACAAACTGTCCAGCTTACAGCTACTACCAACGTACCTGGCAGGTGGTCACTGATTGACTCACACACCAGAACACCGTACAGGTGATGTTCTCAGAGATTAGGTCCATGTCCCAGATGGCGACAAGTGATTCTCTCTGGTTGCCGGTTTGGTTCCCCGTGATTTTCACAGCAAAAGTGTGTTGAATTGTCAACGGAACTGAAGAACAATAAGGTGAACTAGTTGAATAAAAATTTATCAAATATCAAACTTGTATAATCTGTATCGATCTTTTGTATAATCATTATACACCTTCAGTGAGACAGAAATGGATACTATCCATGTAAACTGATTATTTGAAAGTTGATGCTCCTGCTATTCAAAGCATATTTATTCCGCCTCTGTGCTACCAGCGCCAGACATGATCACTCACAACAAACCATAAAAGAAAATTAGTAACCACGGAAATGAGATGTCTGAGAAGGGCTTTAGGAGTGACCATAAGAGATAAGATCAGGAATGAAATCATAAGAGAAAAAGTCGGCACAGAACCAATTCTAAATTACATACGAAGACAGCAAGTGAAATGGTTTGCCCACTTAGAGAGAATGCCTTGTGACACCATATCATACAAAGCATACATGGAAAGAGAAAAATGACGTAGAGCACGAGGTAGACCAAGAACAAGATGAAAGGATAACATTAGAGAAACTCTACAACAGCACGATGTGCCTATGGTCGAGGCTGCCAGAAGAGCTAGAAACAGAACCTCATATCTCCCTCGACACCCACAGCGGTAAAAGAGGAAGTGAAGAAGAAGAAGAAGAAGAAGAAGAAGAAGAAGAAGAAGAAGAAGAAGAAGAAGAAGAAGAAGAAGAAGAAGAAGAAGAAGAAGAAGAAGAAGAAGAAGAAGAAGAAGAAGAAGAAGAAGAAGAAGAAGAAGAAGAAGAAGAAGAAGAAAAAGAAGAAGAAGAAGAAGAAGAAGAAGAAGTTTCTGCAGTGAAGTGAGAATATTGATGGTTAGATTGTCGATAGCAGTTACAGTGTGCTTATGGTGCGTTAATGATGTGATAAGTAAGTAAAGGGCCCTTTTCATGATTTATGGTGTATTGGGCACATAGGGCTAGTCCTATATTTTATTAAAAAATCGGCACTGGTGGGTGATGTGGTCAACATCACACAGGTCGCCTTTACTTCCCAGGACTGTTACCTGGTACCCACTCAAGGCTGGGTCGACCTGGAAGTGAAGGTCAGCATCACGCAGGTCGCCTTTACTTCCGAGGACTGCACCCGGTACCCACTCAAGGTTGGGTCGACCTGGGAGCGAAGGTCATTTTTGAAGAAAATCCGGTTCCGTTAAGACCCGAACCCGTGACCTTCGGATCGGCAGGCCAGATCTAGCCACTACACCACTGATATGACGGTCTAGTTTATGTGATGATGGTAGTGATTTGATAAAATAATAGATGTGTTGGTATTCGTGACATGATGGTGCAAGTTATGTGATGGCCGTAGAATTTGATAGTGGTAGTAATATGATGGTGTTGGTGATGTAGTGATGTGAACAGTGCATTGGTGTTATGATGGGATGGTGGTAGTGATGTGACGTTGGTAGTGATGTGATGGTGGTAGTGATGTAATAGTGTTAGTGGTACGATGATGTTAGTTGAGTTTTTGTGCTGACTGACTGACTTTCTACCCCACCAGGACATCACACAAGTGATAAACACCCGGTGACACAAAGTGCCACCATGTGGATGAGGATCGCCGCGGAGAGGTCACAGAAACCGCATTCGGACAATTGGCCTCCCTCTAAGTCGGAGTACATCTGCCGGTGAGACAGGGAACGAGGACTGCAAACAATACAATAAGACAGTAAAACGGATGTACACGCAAAACTCAGGTCAAGGTAAAAGCCAAAAGTCCATTTGGACGAACAACCGCGACTTACCGCTGGAATTCACAGCCGGTGAACAAGAAGAAGAAGAAGAAAAAGACAATTGGCCATATTTATGGCCTGCCTATATTGCGGCCCCCGGCAAAAGCCAAGGTGCGGCTTCAAATAACAAAAAATGTCATCCTCAAAGGACGAAACCTGATTAAGATATCCTACAATTTTTGTGTGTGTGTTTAATCGTAGTAGTTGTTAAGATTGTTGTAGTGGTGCTCGCGATGGTAACACTGCTGATGTTGGTACTGCTAGTGGACGTGGAGTTGGGTCAGCCGACACGGCTTGCCAAAAACGGCACTCACCTTTAAAAGTTGCAGGAGGGATCAACATAACAGTAGGTTGTTGAGAATAACCTGCCTTGTTGTGAGCATAGATATAGATGTGTGAGCTGGCGCTACAGGGCAACCGGATATCCGCCCAGAAGTTGTGTCCGCTGACGTTTGCTAGAGTGGTCTCCCCTTGTCGGATGATGTAGCCATCAATGACGCCATGTTGTTGATGTCTCTCAACTTCCTGTTGTTAAATAAATGGATGATGATTAACGTGGATGATGATTAACGTGGATGATGATTAACGTGGATGATGATTAACGTGGATGATTAATGCTGGGGGATATTCGTTAGTTTGCAGTAGCACTCAAAATACTAAAGTATTTCTGTTAATTTTTTTCTCTTGTTCAGAATATAACAAACGTTTCCACTAGACAAATACAAATGTGGTGTGGGCGGGGGAGAAAAGTAGGGGGGGGGGGGGGTCGTTTACACGCGTGGAAAAAAATGAGACAAAATAAATTCACTAGCGATCAGTGGCATTTACACAAGTAAAAGGTAAATGAGAGATTTATCAAAGTGACGAGTTTGCATGTCGGAGCATGTCAGTATAAGAGAGGGCCCGCTATAAATGCACTTTCATCCTAAGTTATGCTTCCGTTATCAGAAACAGCGATGCCGACTCAAAGAAAACACCAGCCCAGACGTGGGGGGTGGGGGGAAGAGTTCATTGGACATTTATATTTTTAGGTGATGAAGGCTTCAAGAATGTTAATTCTTATTTAAATGCATAATAATAATAATAATAGTAATAATCACTATTACATTCTGAATTATAAATCAAAGTGTGAATATTATTCAAAGACCGAAATTTATTAAATAATACTTTACAAAACAAAAACGAAGACATGTGTAAACATGGTTGAACTGATTATTTCGCTCTTACAAATTGTCAGAGTACAGTGGGAGTTCCATAAAATTATTGGGCGGGGAAGGAGTTCAATTATTTTAAAGGGGAAAAAAAGAAGAGGGGTTGCTTTGGGTTAAAAAAAAAAAGTAACTTTCAAGCTTGAAACTATCATCAGTCTTCGGTCATCTAGCATCTGTCATCTGTCATCTATCATCTATCATCTGTCATGTATTATCTGTCATCTATCATCTGTCTTGTCATCTAGCATCTGCTATCTGCCATCTATCATCTATCATCTGTCATCTATCATCTATCATCTGTCATGTATCATCTGTCATCTATCATCTGTCATGTATCATCTGTCTTGTCATCTAGAATCTGTTATCTATCATCTATCATCTGTCACCCGTTATCTGTAATCTATCATCTGCCATCTGTGTGAGTCAGCCAATATTAATTTTTGAATACAGCCTTGTTAGTTACTTGTGTTTTACCTGCCACATGACAGTCACGTGTCTGGTTGCCACAAGACACTCAGCGCTGGTGAAGCTGCCATTGGTGACTTGAGGACCCAGGCCTGGCGCTGAAACAAGATCGAGCCTGGTATTTATGTCATGTCTTAGTGTCTGTATGTGTGTGTCGTCTTCAGATCACAGGTGACATGTCAGACATTCACAACTGATCTCCAATGATACACATGTTATTTTACTCTCCTCCACTTTCCTTTCTACTCTCTTCTCCAGGTTTCCTTAGCTCGTCCATGTCTCAGGTTTGTCTATCTGTCGTCTGCTGGAGAGCTGTTGCTGCCAAAGTGCCGACAGGTATTCTGTACAGATGTCAAAGCCGCCTGCATCTTCTTCCTTTGATTCCGTTTGCCAGTGACAGTTCATAGAATGCATTGGAGCAAGAAGATGAAAAACTTCGACATGACCTGAAAATCACGGTCAACAGCATCGTCTCTCGAAAGATGGGGTATTTTAGACACATCAAGCGCCAAGCTGGTCTGGAGAGAACTGTGATAGAAGGCGCAGTTTCTGGGAAAAGAGGCAGAGGTCACCAAGACTGAATACATGTCACTGAAGTCTCAATAGCTGTGAAATCACACAAGGCTGGAGAATTCGTTGGAGAAAAAAAGACTTTCAAGTGTACGTGAAGAGAGCGACGTTCTGTAAATTATAGGCTGAATGATTAAACCCTTGCGAAATTTTACGAAGGAAATATTTTATGACTGGTTGTTAACTTTAAGAATCTACAATCTGGTCGCTACAGTACCTGTCATTGACGTCCAGGCATCAGTGAAAACTGGGTCACTCCAGTTCCCCGACCATATGGATGCTGGAAAACAGGTCACAGAAAACCGATGATGAGTGTAAGGCGAGTGTCCACAACTGGTCAGTTTTGTCTCATTGGTGGCCGCCGACAAAACCTGGAATGGATATAATTTGTTTGTTCATCTTCTTGATTGTTGACACAAAAACGCCAAGTGTATAGCGCCACACCTAACATGACAACTGAAGTGGAAGTAGCTTTCTGACGGCAGGAGAGAAGGACAGTCAGACATAGCCGGCAGAGCATACTTCGTAAAAAAGAAACTTGTGTCTTGCATCGCTTAGTAACATTCAGATGAACGTAGCATGGATACGTTGTTCACGATATTCAGGTGAACGGGGCAATGATCGGGCTGGCAGATTAGCTGATCCTGCGCTTTTGGGCGGCGAGCTACTTGACGATAGAACGACGAGGTGAATGCTCTCTGGAACGAAGTCAACAATCTGACAGAATACGTGGAGCTTCCACTGGAAAGAAAGATTCTCCCGAGAGTGCAGACCATTTTCTGGACTCGGGACAAACAAACAGGAGAACTTGTAACCAGATTGCAGCTGATTTTATCAAGATGGGAGCTCTTCTTTGGCTACTGGGGTAGGGGACGGAGCAGGTGTGGAAATGTCCCGAGTGCAGTAGTTTAAGTTCTTGGTTCATTCATCCGAGGTTCTAGCTAAACATTAGGGCCGAGAATAGGCAGACGCTCTTCATGTAACTAGTCTCACTGAAGTGCGTTTCACTATGAAAAAAAAAAAAAAAAAGCATGTTAAGATCTTAACAACAACAAAAATAAAAACTCAGACCTATGTGTGTGTGTGTTTTTGTGTGTATTTATGTGTGTGTATGTATAAATGTTTGTGTATGTATGTGTGTGGGGTAATATATATATATGTTTGTGTGTGTGTGTGTGTTTGTGTGTATGTATGTTTGTGTATGTATAAATGTATGTGTATGTATGTGTGTATATATATGTGTGTGTTTGTGTGTGTGTGTGTGTGTTTATGTGTGTATGTGTGGTGTCGTGTGGGTGTGTGCATGATAATCTGTGGAGTTTCCTGGAATTAGTTCTGCAGAAGAATACTTTTTAAATAATCAACAAGTTTTCAGAGAAGAAAAGTTACAGATGTTGCTACTTAATGTTGTTTTTGTTGTTGTTGTTGTGTGCGCGCAAGTGTTTGTGTGCGTGTATGTGTAGACATAACAGTTTTTAGAGCTGCGCAAGTGTAATGATTGGTTGGCTTGTCCTTCAAATCCTTCTTGGTTTCTAAATGAGGTTTGAGGTTTGAACAACGGATCAACATCATGGCACAAGGGTAGTAAGTAACCCATAAGTGCTTCGTTCTACTTCTAACTCAAGTCTGAAGAAAAAATCAGCTCAGTGCACGGGTTCCGTAACACCGGCGAGCATCCTGAAATATTTTGGGTAGATTTTTAAACTACAAATTTAGCCCGGGCAGCGCCGTTATGCTACTCTTTTCGATTGCCAACTGCCAAGGGATTTTTTTTACGTGCGCAACAATACACACGGGCGTCGGATCTCACTACCCAGAAGTCCACGTGAACAGACGAAATCCCAGCCTTCACCGGGGCTTGAGCCCGGGACCTCTAGTACTAGAGACAGACACCATACCTCGAGACAACGCAGCCGCCTCCTTGGCTTGTAAATAAATTACCTGTCTCCCAGCTAGATCCCGTCTACTATTGGTTCCCTGGAAATGTTATAGAAAGTAAAGATGAAAAGTTATGATAATAATAACATGGCACAGAAGGGCCTGCAAACATACGGGAAAACAACATGTGTCCAGTATATCTCAGAATGGAGCAACCTTGTCTCCATGGCTGATGTCCCAGGCTTCTTATGAGCGTGTTCCTTTGACTGGTTGCTCTGCCAGATAGTTGGTTGCTTGGCTTGTATTTGCTCATGACAATCTAATGTATATCCCGGCTTAAATACACAAGACATTCGGAATCTAGCGCAGGCACAATCAAGCTACACTTACAGACATCTGTGTCTGCCCCACGATTTGATGTTGGATTCTGTAAACCTTAGGATGAAATTTTCTTGAGTGTGTCCAGAACACACTGAAACATCCAGATCCTCTCGGATCCTCTATGGCAATCAGGTGCTCCACTGGTGCAGGTTTTACTGTGGATGAAGTTATTTACATATTTACAAATTTGATATTTTTCTTCTAAATTCTATCCCCAGTAAAGAATAGGCCGCCAACCAACTCACGAGAAGTAGTCCTACCCACTGCTACGGCATGCATCTCATTTCCACATTTGTATAACTTTACCCTCTAGCTCCATTTTTCATGTATCTGTCGTCTGTGCTTATTTCTATGCACCTGAAAGTTGCACTGTCAAACTCTTCTTGTTTTACTGTTTTGGGGTTTTCTCAGCCTGTGCACTATCAAACAGCCTTTTCTTTTCTTTGCCCTTTGATTCAGTATCATTTGTTGAGTCCGATCCAAACCTCAACGTTCATGATGCTATCATACCGTTTCATTCCTTCTGTTCTCAGAAGGCACCAGTTAATGAGTGTTTCCTCTTCTTCGCGTTCACCAGCTGAAAAACGCAGGCGGAAAGTTCTGGTTGTTCGTCAGGTCCTGTTCCAGAACCGGAGTGTTGTGTGCGCTTTCGTTTCACAGATCTTAATCATCTGCAGTCTGTTGGTTCCTTGCCTTTCAGAGAGATGCATTAAAATTTTGAAGGAAGCTCCCAATTAGTCGACTCTTACGACATGCTCTTAGGCAGGCAGTGGGTCTATTCTTGCTTTTCCCTCAATGGGGCACAGAACTCGTAGCGAAAATAATTGTTGAAGTTCTTCTTTGTGTGTCCACTTCATACTACAATATTTTTGTGACTCTAGATTTAAAAACTGTCAGTTTAGTTTTAATTTCCCTTGCCCTTTACAAATTTCGTACTACACAATGTAATAATTATAACTGACGTATGATTAGAAAAACTACACTTTCACGTCACGCATGTAACGGATTAGAATCCTATAACCCAGTGTGAGCTCATTGCATAGGGACATGCTGGAAACATGACTGCCTTAAATAAAAATAAAGTTAGTTGCGTATCCTTTACAGGACGTTGCAGAACCAACCCTAACAGCCCCTGGCTGTTGTGTGGTTTCTCTAGGCAATTTACATCCAGTAGTTTGCCATTGCTTTCTGGACGGTCGGCTTTCTTGATACCACTGTCGAAACCAACGCAAGGCGCATTGCCCGCAGCTGGGATCGAACCTGGCATCCCGGCATTACGAAGCGAAGCGTTCTCATCGACTTAGCCACAGAGCCAATCTGCCTTAAATAATCTAAACAAATCTCGTCATCCCTTTAACGGATGCAATTTTTCGTTATTTGAAGCCCTACTCTGGGTCTTGACAGAGGCCACGATATAGCCTGGCCATAAATATGGTCTAATGGCTGAACGCGGTTTCTGGGACCTCATCCACATGGTGGCACTTTGTGTCATCGCTTGTGTGATGTCCTCATGGGGTAAAAGAAGATAGATGACTCTGCCATGTGGCGGGAAGCAGATGTCAGACATAGAACATTTAGCAACAACCAAAGGGAGAAAACTGAGGTTTTTGAAGGGTCAATGATACCGTCGCATTAGAATTACCAAGAGGCTGAAATACAGTGCTAAAGGTAAAGAGCCGTCGCCCACGCATTCAGGCTTTTTGCGGCGAAAAGGGTTAGACCTGAAATTTAGAGACCAATCGGCACTTGGTGGCTGATGCGGTCAGCTTCACGCTGCCGGCCTTTACTTGGTAACCACTCAAGGCTAAGTCGACCTGGAAGCCAAGTTTTTTCTTTATGGGTAAGTATCTACATCTTTTTTTTTTTTTTCTAGAAACAAAAGTCCTGATATATATTGGTGTATTTGTACTCACCTAAACGGGAAGTATCAACTGCAAAAATTGCCGAGGCAGTCCGTGCTGTTCTGGTATTTCTTACAGAAACCTGAAGCACGTAGTCCGTAGACATGAACTCCCCGTGACTAAAGGTGCATCCATTGTAGCTTTCCTTTGGACACTGGTACGTCAGACTGGGCAAAGTAACAGGAAAGGCAATTGTTAACTTTGCTGAAGGCCCTGGTAAACTAGACTGGGTAAAATAGCACGGTAGGCAACTGTTAAGTTTGCTAGAGAAATGATACATTAGATTGGCTAAAATAGCAAGACAGGGAACTGTTGACTTTGCTGGAGGCATGCTACACTAGACTGGGTAAAGCAACAGGACAGGAAATTGGTAACTTTGTCCAATGCTCTGGTAGACTGGATTGGGTAAAATAACACAGCAAGGATTTATGAACTCAAGGCAGCAGTCAGAAATCAAACTCACAGCTTCCAAAGTACAAGACACTTCACCAGAACGTGGTCAGAACCCCCCCCCCCCTCTTTCTGTGTACCCTGCTGCCACCCCCACCCACATCATATTTTCTTTTTGCTGGTTCCTCTTTCCCCAGGTTTAGTTTTTTTCCCAGCAGCCCCATGTGAGGAAACGTATCCCTTGGTTCCACCCCACCCTGACAACAACAACAACAAACACAACAACAGCAACAACAACAACATGAGTTACTGTCAAATGTTATAAAGGAAAACAAATCTCCCTGGGAAACTCGTCGTCACATGTTCTCATGATCCGCTCTTGGTGAAACCGCAGTGGCGCAGTGATTAGAGGATTGCTCTAACCAGAAGTCCTGGGTTCTAATTTTCATCCAGGCAGAATTTCAAATTACCACGGCTAGGCACAGACTAAAATAGGTAGGGGGAAAGTCATGGAAAGTAAAGACAGGCTGAATAATGTTTCCCACATAGCTCCTCCTGTTCTGTTTCGCTTATAAAGAAAATATAGACCTCACTGGCATGAAAAAGGGGCTTTTTTCCACTGCTGGATCTTTGGTATCTTCTTTACTCTTAGGGAAAGAAACTAGCTTGACTGTACACATCAGGACCTGCGGGGATAAATGGAAATTAAAGATAGACAGGCTGGCCGTGTCAGGCATACTCAATGCGCAAAGCAGTCAGAGGCCAAGAAGTCCCTGTTAAAGTTTAGAATTAAATAAGAACATGCAAGGAGAAACCGGTTGTGGTACAAAGGAAGAAGATGGACCAGACAATTCCTGATGGGGACGTTGAGCGTGAAAACGCTAAGATGGCTGATGTTGTATTGGAGCACTGAGCACGCATGGGTTGCACCAGATGCTCTAGGACGTCGATAAGGACAACAAATAACGTGTGAGTAAGCTGACATATTATTCAGCATAAACTGAAAACTATAAAGATGGCCAGAAATGAGTGCCATAGTTAATGTTTAACTGTATTCTGTGAGTTAACGCTGAGTACCCACTTGCTGTGTCTGACTGTGTAGAAACATGTGACATGCACTGTGTCCTTGTTGGTGTAGTTGACTGGATGTTGCCAGTGACACGTCATCGACTCGTCCCAGTTGAAGACGACACACTTAAGGTTAGTGACCTTCTGTGGAACCTCTGGAAACAAAAACGGTTTAGTTTTTCATTTACCACCATATCCAGTCATCCTCTCGTGGGATGCAATTTTTCGTTATTTTGAAGCCCCACCCTTGCTCTTTCTAGGGGCCCCAATATAACCCGGCAATAAATATGGCCTAACGGCTGAATGCGGTTTCCGGGACCTCTCCACGAGTGATCCTCATCCACATGGTTGGAATTCCGGGACCCATTAAAGGGGAAAATAGAAAAGACCCACTGCCTCATAAGTATGATGTAGAAAGCCACTAATTAAGTCTTTGCTAAAATCAGATTCGCTGAGCCGAAATGCGCAAATATCGTAGCCAAGCTGTAAATTACAATCCGACGTGACAGCCGCATTTAAAGAGTGAACGAGTGAGAAGAACACTATCCAGCTGCTGTCGCCTTCTATTTCTTTTGTGCCTGCCAGTTGTCAATGATTTTATGCCCTGAATCATGACCTATCTGTCTAGCATAGATCACATACTTTATACAGTTTTGAGGTTTATTATTTTGTGTTCCTTTTTTGTTTACGTAATATTTGAATACCAAAATTTCGTCATTTCTATCGTCTGCTTTGTGTGTATGTGTTGTGGTTTCTTTCTTGTGGTTACTCTACTGGTAAAGGCTATTTGCAACAACGTCCTCTGTTCATTGTAAGTTGTTTTATTGCAACATACGACGATTTTCCGTCTAAGAACAGGACACTGAAGGCTCAGCTACCACATGCATAAAATAAGGACTGTTCAGTCCCCACAGTGTGCCTGTCAAACAGGACCACAAACACCTAAGCACATTCTGCAGGCCTGCCCACTCTACCTACAACCTTGAAAAGAAACCTGGACTCAAGAGCAAAGTGCAGAGCAAGCTATGGGGAACGATCAAGGACCTGCTACTGACATTCGAGTTCATAAAGGCAACCCACCTGATGGTCTGACACGAGCTTACGAAGCCGAACGCTAAGAAGAAGAAGAATCCCCACTGAGGCGATTTTGTTTTTATAATTGACTTTACTTCACAGGTGGGTCTAGTTTAGCTAAAGTCGGTACCAGGGAATATTATGGGAAGTAAACTCGGCCAGATTGATGTTGAAGACATCACCCATCAAGCGTCAACTGGCCTAAACAATATTTGTCCTACACCAAAAGCCTGATGCGCCATTGACCTGCAAACGACGGTGTTCCTTTTTTCTTCTGAAACAAATGTCATGTTTGTAGTTTAGTTGCCTTTTTCCTTCTGAAACAAATGTCATGTTTACAGTTTAGTTGCCCTTTTTCTTCTGAAACAAATGCCAAGTTTGCAGTTTAGTTGCCTTTTTCCTTCTGAAACAAATGTCATGTTTGCAGTTTAGTTACCCTTTTCCTTCTGAAACAAATACCATGTTTGCAGTTTGATTGCCTTTTTCCTTCAGAAACAAATGTCATGTTTGCAGTTTAGTTGCCTTTTTCCTTCTGAAACAAATGTCATGTTTGCAGTTTAGTTACCCTTTTTCTTCTGAAACAAATACCATGTTTGCAGTTTAGTTGCCTTTTTCCTTCTGAAACAAATGTCATGTTTGCAGTTTAGTTGCCTTTTTCCTTCTGAAACAAATGTCATGTTTGCAGTTTAGTTGCCTTTTTCCTTCTGAAACAAATGTCATGTTTGCAGTTTAGTTGCCTTTTTCCTTCTGAAACAAATGTCATGTTTGCAGTTTAGTTGCCTTTTTCCTTCTGAAACAAATGTCATGTTTGCAGTTTAGTTGCCTTTTTCCTTCTGAAACAAATGTCAAGCCATAATATGCTATTGATTTCGTCAGTGATAAGGCGACAACTATGAATTCTGATCACGTGACTTCTGTGGACCAATATGATTGATGATTACACACAGAGGACAACCAATCAATATAAATGTTATATTTACCAATAATCGTGCGTGTCTCAAGTTAGAAGTAACCAAACAATAAGGGAAGTTTTTCACAGCTTAATCATTACGACTTTGCAATGAGTTAGTAAATGCAATCTGCCTACCAAACTTGTGTTTTCAGTGTCAGCTTTGAAACCTGACTACAAATCACATAATCACTGATCTTGAGAAGTTTGGGGGTTCTTTAGCAATATATTACCTCAGATTATGTCACAGGACATTCCAACACTTTAGTGGTTGGTAAGACTGGGTTTCCCAGCTTTCTGATGCTTTTATCCACCCCAAAACATCTAGAAATGGACCTAACCCTAACCCACCTACGTCTCACGAGAGAGTGCAGCCTAGGTCCCACGATTGTGTGCAGCCTATCTACCACCCCCTGACATATTAGACTGTCCCGTGACCTGTGGATTTCCCCTTTCTGGGGTAACATATTAATAAAGCACCTGTTTAAAAAAAAGACCGTTAGCAAAGCGGAAAGAGATCATGCGAGAAAAGATTGAATTAAAAGAACTATTGAAAGAACACCTTCTAATTAAATTCTCTAAAACAACAAAGACTGAAATGGTGTGGCCACTAAATGAGAATGAAGCAGATGATGTCAGCAACAAGAGCAGACAGCATGAAAGAAGAAATAACAAGAGGGACGAAAAAAGAAACATTGATTCAAGGAGAGACTGATACCTTGAGACTCCACATCCCTGCATATTAGGCAACCGAGCAGGCCAATGGCTCGGATGATAACCTGTGATGCCTAGCGAAATAAAGGAGAATATAGACAAAAGAAAGAAAGAATACCTTTTGTAACCATGTCACACAGGTATACTGGGTACAGTATGGTCGTGAAGTCCAGTGTGGGTGTGTGGGTGATTTGTGTGGGTGATTTGTGTGGGCAATAAACCTAAATTTGGATTGAGACTTGTGCACACAATCTCAGCCTAATAACAAGATGAATTTTAAATGAGTTGTAGTTGTAGTTGTAGTTGTAGTTGTAGTCACCTTTGCCTGAAATAAATGTACAACCCTAACTTAAACAATTAAATGGCGTCTGGAAAGAAATCGATACTCGAAAATAAATCGATTAGGAAACAGCTGCAACCGATTGATACCTAAGTTTCTTGTTTTTTTTCTTTTCTTGTTTAACACTCACATACATTCACACATACACATACACACACAGACACAGACACACACATACACACTCCGACACACTGATATGCTAACCTTTAGATCCAAACATTTACATAAACATTTTTTCATTACTGAGTTGGCACATACATACGCCCGCGTTCATACAAACACAGACACACGCGCGCTCACACACACATATACATAGGCGCGCTCATACACAAACAACTTACACATGAACACACTCTTTGACCCATGGGAAGACACCTAAAATCACATGCTCACAACCACGCATTGTTATACACGCAAACACATCAACTTCCATTATTGGATAGAAGAGAGAGAAGAGACATCACCAGTGCCATACAGGAGAGACATCACCAGTGCCATACAGGAGAGACATCACCAGTACCATACAGGAGAGACATCAGCAGTGCCATACAAGAGACATCACCAGTGCCATACAGGAGAGACATCACCAGTCCCATACAGGAGAGACATCACCAGTGCCATACAGGAGAGACATCACCAGTGCCATACAGGAGAGACATCACCAGTGCTATACAGGAGAGACATCACCAGTGCCATACAGGAGAGACATCACCAGTACCATACAGGAGAGACATCACCAGTGCCATACAGGATAGACATCACCAGAGCCATACAGGAGAGACATCACCAGTGCCATACAAGAGAGACATCACCAGCTCCATACAGGAGAGACATCACCAGTGCCATAAAGGAGAGACATCACCAATACCATACAGGAGACTCATCACCGATACCAAAGAGGAGAGACATCACCAGTGCTATACAGGAGAGACATCACCAGTGCCATACAGGAGAGACATCACCAGTACCATACAGGAGAGACATCACCAGTGCCATACAGGATAGACATCACCAGAGCCATACAGGAGAGACATCACCAGTGCCATACAAGAGAGACATCACCAGCTCCATACAGGAGAGACATCACCAGTGCCATAAAGGAGAGGCATCACCAATACCATACAGGAGACTCATCACCGATACCAAAGAGGAGAGACATCACCAGTGCCATAGAGGAGAGACATCACCAGTGCCATACAGGAGAGACATCACCAGTGCCATACATGAGAGACATCACCAGTGCCATACAGGAGAGACATCACCAGTGCCAAACAGGAGAGACATCACCAATACCATACAGGAGAGACATCACCAATGCCATACAGGAGAGACATCACCAATGATATACAGGAGAGACATCACCAATGCCATACAGGAGAGACATCACCAGTGCCATACAGGAGAGACATCACCAGTGCCATACAGGAGAGACATCACCAGTGCCAAACAGGAGAGACATCACCAATACCATACAGGAGAGACATCACCAATGCCATACAGGAGAGACATCACCAATGATATACAGGAGAGACATCACCAATGCCATACAGGAGAGACATCACCAATGCCATACAGGAGAGACATCACCAATGCCATGTGTGGGACTAAAGGCTATGAAACTTTCAGTTTCGTTGAAAATGATTTTCAACTGAATAGACCACATACCCGGATGTACCACTTGAAGCAGCAGGACAGGAAAATCATGCTGGAGCCACCCGTCGTTACATCAACCAGAACAGTATAGGAGTTGTTAGCTGAAAAACACTTGGAGACATACTCAGGTGGCTATCGGAGCACTTATGACCATATCCGAGGTGCTATAAAGATGTTCTAAAAATGAACAATGGATAAAAGCCATCACAAGACATTTTTTGGTTGCTTTTTGTATATTGCGCATTTATGGGTTTCTGAGACACGATGTTGTTTACGAGCCAGGTTTCTTTGTTGTCAGCCTGGCAGTCTCGGAAAATGTACATCTGTAATATCTGTAACGGGAGTTTCCCCTCAGCCATGACCTGGTCT